AAAAGCAGTCTCCCTTTTACTAGACTTTCGTGAGCAGCTGGGTTCTTTGATGAAAGAGAATGAAAGCTGTATAGAGCTCCAGCTGCTCAGCACACAACCTTTTCCACAATACCGGGAATCATTTGATTGAGAGTAGAGAGAGTGGGGCTTTGAGATAAAGTGCATCACAGGTCTTTCTTAAAATGTTTTCTGTTTACAAAAAGTAAAAAGAAAGTAAAAATGAAATTATTTCGCCAGTGTTTTGGTGAAATGGCACCTTTTGCTTTAAAGGTGTTATCAGAAAACAAAGAGACTGGATGCTGTAACAGCAGCCTGGACTGTTAAGAAAATTGTGATAACCTCTCCATTTAAGTTAACTTAAGCAAGAAAAGCATTTGTTTTTCTTTGCTTAGTCCTAACAGATGCAGCGTCCCCACCTTAAAACAACTTTGTGGCTTTGTACCCCATACATAAAGACTTAAAACCCAAACTCCAGGCCTCTTTGCTATTTTTTTTTTTACAGCCATAGAGAGATGAATGCTGTTTGTACTTCGCCCTTTTGGGCAATTGTGAATTTAAATAAACAACATTTTGGGTTTCATATCACAGGAAGACATGCCACTGTTTTGTAGTACTTTCTTAAAGATCACAAAGAAACACAAAAAACTGAAGGGACCGAAAATAAGACATCAATCTTCCACAGACTCCTCTGAATCCAGATAATGATCATTATGACAGAAACATAGTGGCAAGGAAATGAAGGCCAAAACTGTCTGCCGTGTTAGCTGCCAGAGTATCCAACCATTGGTTTTAGGAGGTGCACTCCTCATAAAGACACTTTCCAAATGAACTGTTTGTCGACGGCCCATTGCTTCACACTCTCAGATCATTCCTAAGTGCTAGTAAAGAGCAGCTCTAATCAGATTCCCAATTAATTGATTGTGACCATAGGAGGCTGCTTGAGTCGGGATCTGCCTCTTTCGAAGCCGTATAGCAGTGTTGAATGTAGTGGAGAATGTTGACTTTCACGAAGAAGAAACAAGGATTTAAGCATTTAATCAAGATATTCATGCCTGGGAGGAAGCTGTGGTTGTTGTTGTTGTGGGGGGTGGGGGGTTAGCTGGAACGATGGGTGTAACATTCAAGCTTTTACTTGAATTGCAAACACAGAAGGGAATTTGCTATGATGTGTAAATTAAGTCCTATATACTTGTTTGTGGGAAGAAAATGCCATCATTCTGAGTCAAAACAGACGTGTGTCACGCTGGCAGCCACAGAATTCATGACTCAGAGAGCCAGCTCAAGAAACAAAAACACTTAGTGTTATTTTCACCACCTTGTTCAAAGAACTCTGGTCCTGACTGTCTTGTACGGAAATAGACATTGGTGGGATTGCTAAAGAAAATACATTTTTCACAAATATGGCGCTTGTATTCAATCCACACCCACTGTGTGTCCTCTTTACAAGTCCTCATACCTAAATGACAAATAGACTGTTTGTTTTTTTTAGTTTAGGCAACAAGCACTACTTGTCTAAGCTTATGGAAAACCAATTTTGACGCCCGCCCAACCACCCACCTCAGCCTCTGAGTAAAGAGTGAAGTATCTAGACAGCTATTGGAAGAATTGCCATGACATCTGGCTCAGACATTCATGTTGAGGTGATAGCTTAACATTTCATCTATGGGCTGCAACACACACAAAAACCAAAAATATGTTGATTTATGATTAAATACAATGACAAGCATACTTTGTGTTTATTACTGATTAGCAATTCTCAGTGCACTAACACAACAAACTAAGATGGTGAACTTGTCATTTTAAGCATGTTAGCACACTGACAGCATTCAGCTCAAAGCACAGCGTTGCCTATAAGCACAGCCTCACAAAGCTGCTAGCATAGCTTAGTCTGGTTTGTCAGCGTGTTGTTCTCACATGAAGGTGCAGGTTTGATCATTCACATTGTGTGTTTACATGTGGATGTTACATATGGTAAAATAATTTGGTTGGTGAGCTATATTACTACTGTCTACCTTCTAAATTTACAGTGAATTTACTGGTTACTATTGTATATGATAGTAAGCAGTACATTTATTATAATATGGGCCACAAGTAATTATTGTCTTCTGTATGATTTAACTGTTTTTTGTTGTTTTTGTATTTATCAACTTCAGTAAAGCCAAAAATATTTAGTTTACAATTTAACAAAACTGAGAAAATCAGCAAATCCTGACAGTTGAGAAACTGGAACCAGCAAATGTTTGTCATTTTACTGTTATTATTGTTGACTAATCAATTTTTTACTAAATACTGACTTTGGGTTCATGCTGTACTGTATGTAGAAAGGCCAGTTCACCCTGTCTCTCTCTGTCACAAACTCAAACACACATAGATGAAGTGAAGTTTTGTGTTTTGTCGAGTGTGTGCTGCAGTGTTCAGAGGGAGGGACACAGTTCAAGAGAGCTGACCGCTTCCTGTCCTGCTGCATCGGAAATACCAGGCCCAAAGCTTCTGAGACTGGATTCAGATTAGACTACACACACACACACACACACACATTCACAACCACACAAAATAAACTCAAACACGTACACACCCCAGAGCACACATGCAACCAGCAGTGAATATGCAGCAAGGCTACAGTTGTGAGAGTAAACACAGCACATTACATCCTTATGTACTGTAGCTGCCTCCCTCAAACACCAAAACACACATACACACACATGCAACGGACACACGCATATCTACACACACAAAAACACTGCGCGCACACACACACACACACAGAAACTCCCATCCGCTGGGAGTATTGTTGGATTCTTCCTCCTCTGACGCCTGTGAGGCTCTTACTTGGGAAAAGGAAATGCAGTCTTGTGTAACCTTTATACACAGAAGAGAGAGAGACACACACACACACACACAGTGAAAGAGAGTCTTTTTGTTAGTAGAGCCAGAGGTCAGGCCCTGAGCTCTGCTTTAATCCTGATTTCTACAGTCAACATCTTGTCAGCTCCAGAGACTGAAGGCCTTTCCCCTCTATGACTTTGGTATGAAGGCTCAACTGCATGAATAAATGCATGAATAAGCTAAAAGAGGTTGAAAAACAAATGTCATTGGTCGCAAATAATGTAATGGTTGTAAGGTTCTTTCAAAAACTGTTATAATGTATTCCACTTCTTAGTCTGTTGCACATAATAAATAAACTAATTAATAATTAGTCTCTGTGCTTTGCTTCTAATTCCCCAGTTTCCAGCCTTCGAGCTAAGCTAAGCTAACTGGTTGCCGGCTCCAGCTTCATATTACGCTGACAGATGCGAGAGTGGTATCAATCTTTTCATCTGACTCTCAGCAAATGAGTTAATTTTGCTTTACGACACTCTCCGTAAACTTTACTGCATTGTATCAATATCACACTAGCTCCTGATTTGCTACCCAAATGTTAAACGTTTAAGCTGTCTGAGCAAATAACTAATGCTGTCATGTTTATCTTCCTCAAAGTAAGAAGTTTCTCTGTTGTGAAGTCTAAGCACCCCTGTAGACCTCTGTAAGACCTTCAGAGTGTGAGCTGCTGGGGAGGTCTGCATGCCAAATATCCCAAACGCTTCGGTAAATCACAGATGTAAAAAATCACAGTAAATATAAAGCAGGCAATAGAATTGATTGAGGGGGAACCTGCTGCTCTGTCTGTTCAGAACAGCTGCTGCAGCTGTTGGGATGGAGTTAGGCTGTTCACACACAAATACGTAACAATTAATCAGTTAGAATTAAGGGCAAATTGATTGATGACACTGGCCAAACTGTTACCTCGACATTGTTGCTGTAACAGCAGTGGAATGTGGGAAATATCTGAATGGGTTTTTGACACTTTTTGTGTATAGTGTATATTTTCCACAACCAAAAGTTTTTAAGAGTATAAAAGAACTTCTCAGACCTATGAAATCTTCTCAGAAATGTTTCCAAAGAGAAGACATTTCGACCTCATTTTACTCTTCCTCCTCTTGCTCTGTGACTCTCAACAGACTGTGAAAAAGTCCATTAGTTGTTTACATACTCCCACTTTCTCCTCCTCCACTTGTGAATTAATGTAGCGAATCACGCCGACTGCTCTCCTCTCCTCTCCTCCGAGGGAGTTATTCACATTTAAAATCCCATAATCAAACACCTACACATTAAATGAAAGGCCATTAACGCTAATGGTATACCTTGGACTGAGCCAAGATGAAACCTTGAAGAACTACAGACTATTAGGGCACGGCAAGGACTTTATCCTCCTCGCGTCGAGTCATTCTCTCAGTCGGATATCTCTTTCATTTTATCTGAAGTGGCTCTTTTTCAAAGCCCCCCGTCACCAAACAGCTATGAGAAGGTCAGAGATCGGAGCTGGTGGAAAGTGTTCAATCTGAAAAAGGAGAAAATTAATATCTCTCTCTCTCTCTCTCTCTTCGTCTCTCTCTCTCTCGCTCTTCGTCTCTCTCTCTCTCTCCTCTCTCTTCTCTCTCTCGTGTCCCTCCCTCTGTCTGTAATTTCATCATCTGAGGGTTGTGATGCAGGGCCCGAACAGAGGAGAATATTGATCTGTATCATGAGTCTCACTGCGGACCTCATTTGAGGCAAAGTGGAACTTCTGACTCCCCGTATGGCCCATTTTAAATGATAGTATTTTAAAAGGAAAAAATAAAAAATTGCCAGCCTCAAAAGCCAACTCCTGCCCTGTGGAAATCTGTGGTCACTTATGCACCAAGTGGGCAGCCAGCTCACTCTGGGATCCATCATTTCCTCCCAGGGAGAGTCAGCAGCATTCCACTTTTACAGATTTGATCTCCCAAATTTGAATGCCTTGTCCATGACTTCTTCCATGTCTCATCCAGTCACAGAGTTTCTAACACATTTCTGTCTCCTCAGGCAGGCGCTCGTGTGTCTGAAGTGTTTTCCCTCGGGTTATTTTTAGGATGCCCCCACCCCCCTTTCCCCTAGTGTTCAGATGGTCCGGTCCGGGCCAGAGGAAGGGGAGTGGTAGGGGAAAGGGGAAATCTCCAACAATGACTTCATTAACATGATGCCCAACATGACCAGTACAACTGGACTTTACTGCTCTATTACAACACTGGATATACGACTTTTCCCTTTGGATTAAATTCTTTAAATATCTATTTTTCTGATTATACATGAGTTCTCATCCATTAAAATGGAAGTTTGCTAAAGATTTCCTCCATCCGAGACTTCAGACCTCAGAAGCATGTTGATCACAAGTGAGTATGTGTTCAGTTACGGCTCATATGTTGTGTTATATGAAAGGCAGGGAGATAATGAGAATCTTAGCCTCTCAGTTCTGCCTGTTTTCTTTCTGATGACAATTGACAATTGGTGCTTGATGACATTCATTAGGGGGATGATTGGTTAATTAGCTTAATGAGTGATATGTAATGAGGACCTGATTGAGCCTTGATTAGACAGAATATGACTCCTGGGCTACTTATATAAGTCTTTTCTGGTAGTGCTGAATTAACTAAAGAAAGACTCAACATTATAAGGTACATAAGATGCTGGAATTATGCTTAAGGTCTCTGTTTTTTGACTGAATATGTATCAGCAGTTTTAATCAAAATGTAATAGGGTTGGTTTTGATTCATGAGGCAGAAAAAGGAATTCAAAGCACTCCGGTATCAACTGAGAGTTCTTTGTTGTTTGAAGGCCGTGGGCCTGAAAACATCACAAGCACGGTTTTGAACTCTGGTTGAATAAAAGCTTTTTCTCTGGCAGGAAGAGCGTAGGAATCACTCTGAATGTGTGTGGGTTACTTTTATAATGTGAACTGTTGGAGAGAACTGATCATCTGCTAAAGGAAACTGTCCAAAAATGTAAACTTTGTGGTATGAACTCAGGTCTAAAAACTTTAAAATGTACCTGTCTGAGTCGTATTGCACTCCTGTATGAAAATCAGATGCAAATTATTTTAAAATGGATGCCTTTATTCTGAAATTTGTGCCCTGATATCTGCAGTTTTGGTTTTATTTTGCTTTCAACGGTAACAAGTAATTTGTTACTTCCTCACTATGTTGTTGTGTGTCAGCAATGTGTGAAACATAGTTGTGCTACAATAAGAATGTTATTTCTTCAATTTTCAGGCCAGAGTGAGTAACTGAACTGCACACTTCAGACACCAATCAATCTTCATCTATTCTACTTTAGCAGTTATGTTTTGAGGCATATATGCCATGCAAATCACATTTTTCTTCAAAATATCATAATGTCCATATTGGTTTATGCACAACATTTTTTTAGTTAGTTAATCACATTATATCCACATATGGGAAATAAAATATGGTTAAAGGTTTAGAGTGTAGGATTTTTTGGCATCTAGCGGTGTAGTAGCAGATCACAACTCTGTCACTTCCCACTCCCCTTTCAAGTGTGCAGGAGAGACTACGGTGGTTGCAAAACATG